TTTGTAATTATAAATATTTTAATTACATTTAAAGAAAAATCCTGTACTACAAAAGAGCCCAGCCTACAGAAAGGATCCTGTCTTACAGAAGGACCTGACTTATAGAATGGCCTTATATCACAGAAAACAATGGCCCACAGAAAGGGTCTGAACCACAAAAGGGCCTTGCACTATAAAAAGGCTTGATCTAAAAAAGGGATCCTACCCACAGAAAAATCTGGCCTATGGAAGGACCTGACATATAGAAGGACTCTATACCACAGAAGGATCTGGTTTAACCCTATACCACAGAAAAACCTAATCCACAGAAAGGCCTTGTATCAATGGCCTACAGAAAGGTTCGATCTATAGAAGAGTCCTGTAAAACAGAAAAACTCAGCCAATAAAAGGCCTTTATAATGTTAATGAACTCATTATATAAAGATAATATTCACATTAATAATAATAATAATATTAAACAATAATAAATTAAACATAATAATTGAGTAAATACAATACTATAATATATATAAATTGTAATTAAATATTTATATTTTTTAAATATATATATAATTATGTTTATATTTTAATATATACATAATTATGTTTATATTTTTCGCGTTTTGATTTTGTGAAGTATTTTCTTTTTTCGCAATTATATATATTTTAATTACATTTAAAGAAGAACTAGTACCACAAGACGTACTCTGTACCACAGAAGGGCCCTAAACCACAGAAGACCCTTGTACCATAGAAAGGTCTGATTTACGGAAGGTCTCTGTAATAAAGAAGAACACAGCCCATAGAAGAATATAATCCATAGAAGGACTCTTTATCACAGAAGATCTGGATTTCAAAAGAGCTTTATATCATACGTTATTTCCCAAATCTCCAAGACGTCCTCTACTGCACTCAACAATAGTGATAAAAAAATCAGGAAACATGAAATTATCTCATTGTTAAACACATACACATACACATACACACACACACACGCACACACATACGCGCGCGCACAACGCACGCACAATAAATAAAACCAATCACAAAAGAGCTCAGCCCACATAAGGACTCCTTTACCACAGAAAAGCGTGGATCATGAAAGAGTATGACATACAGAAAGGCCTTATATCTCATATCAGAAAGGCCCTGTACCATAGATGGGTCTGATTCACAGAAGGGCTTGGCTCACGAAAAGATCTAGCATACAAAGAGATTCAGCACCATAGAAGATCCTGAAAAAAAGCTTGGTTCACGGAAGAGTCCGGCCCACAGAGTCCTTTATCATTTTTGCCATAATTAAAAATTTACTTTCTCTTTCTTTGGCACAGAGAAAGATTATGAGGATACAACATGACGTTTTGTCTATTATAATTCAGGAGCTTTTTCAAATGAGGATATGTAGACCGTTATTAATAGATTACCATTTTATCAATATCTCCATTAGTCATATTGCAAATAAGGAAAAATACACGATAGTGGAATAAGCCTACTGGGAATACCACTATAAAAAAAACGCGTTATTGCATTCTATCTCCATAACGTGGAAAAATGTGCAGTACTAAATATTAAGTGCCTAACGTTAAGTATACGTTCATATTATTTTTTATTGTATCTTATTATTAAAAAATAATTAGAACAAATTATTACATCCACATTGATTCTTTTTATTTTTGGAATGGAACAAAAGAATTAGGAAGGGAAAGAACGTAATTGTTTTGATTTTATGAAGTATTTCCTTTTTTCCTATTTATAAATATTTTAATTATATATATAGAAAAGCGCAATCAGCAGAAGGACCTAAGCCACAGAAGGGCCGTGCATCAAAAAAGGGTCTTACAGAAGGGTCTGGCCTACAGAAAGAACCCTATAGATGTAACACAGAAGAACCCACAAAAGGGCGTTGTACTACTATACATTATCATAATCTCTCAAATCTTTCAGATATCGTACTGCAACAATAATGATAAAAAAGTTAGAAGACTCGGTCTCATTGTTACACATACACGCACGCACACAGACACGCACGCATGCACGATAAATAAAACCATTCGTAGAAAAGCTCTGACTTACAGAAAAACCTTGTACTATAGATGAATCTGACTCACAGAAGAGCTTAACTTACGGAACGACTTGGCCCACGGAAGAGTTCAGTCTACAGAAGTGCCCATGCCCACAGAAGAGTCTGGCTTACGAAAGATCCTGACATACCGAAGAATCCTGTACCATAGAAAGTTCTGGACTACAGAAGTGCCATATACCACAGAAAAATCTAGCCTACAAAAGGACCATTTTTTTGTACCATAGAAGGACCTGGCCTACAGAAAGACTCTGTACCACAGAAGGACTTAGCCCACAAAAGGACTTGACAGAAAAGTCCGCTCTACAGAAGGGCCCTTTACCAGAAGGATCTGGACTACAGAGGTATCACTATTACAGCTGCGTTAGAATGTAGAAGATGCGTGTCTTTGGAAGTTTCTGCGTTCGGCACCTGTAATCTAATTGCCGAACCGGGCAACAGTGTGCTCCGATGTGTGCTCCGATTTGTGCTAGTGCGGGATCATAGGATCAAGTGCGTCTTTCCTCAAGTTGTGAGATTTTTCATAAGATTATTAGTGTGGGATCCTTTCACAACTCTTCCACTTTTTCTTTCAAATTCAGTTAAGATTACAAACACGAATTTTATCATGTTACTAAATAAATTTGCTCTCTTATTAATAATGATAAAAAAAGGAGACTTGGTCTCATTGTTATACACACACGCACGCACTCTCACAGTGTAAATAAAACCAGTAAAAAAAGAGCTCACAAAAGAATCCTATTTCACAGAACGGTTTAGCCCATGGAAGAATCCGATCTACCGTGTGGCACAGAAGAGCATTGTATCAAAAGGGTCTGGCTCGCACAAGGGTTCAGCTCTCGGAGCCTGGCCTACAGAAAGGCGCTGTACCACAGACGGATCTTGTACTACAGAAGGGTCCTATATCACTGATGGGTCGGGCCCATAGAAGAGCCTAACTCACAGAATGACACTTTACCACAGAAAGACTTGGCCTACAGAAGGGCTCTATACCACAGAATAATCTAGTTCACAGAAGGACTTGGTCAGCAGAAGAGTCTTATCTATAAAAGGGCCGCAGAAGAGCCTGGTCTACAGAATGGCTTTGTACCATACCACGATTTGTTTGGAAACCCACGTTTTGGAGCGGAATTTTTCTGATTATTCGGACTTGGATAATCCGGATAATCGAATAGTTACTAACGCGGATACTGAAAAGACTATTGAGTTTGCTTGGATTATCCGACTGTTAGGCCGCATAAGGGAAAACAGGGAAATTATAATTCAATTTGGATAGGGCCATATTTTTGACCCCGTAGACAAGTCTCATGATGATACTGAAGTGACTATTGAGATAGCAGAACATCCGACAGTTCAACTCTATAAATATCGTAAATAGAATAATTATAATCCAATCCTTGAGTTGGACTATATTTTAGGCCTCGTAAACGAGTTTCGTGACGATGAATCTTGCGCCAAGGATTTAAGATCATTATTAATAGATCATTATCAATAGATCCATATAAAAGAATATTTAATTGTTTTCTAATAGCTATTATTTTGGATAAGATTACTTTTTTTCGCTACTAATTTCTTTTGTAACATAAAAAAATATCTGCAAAATGCGCTCAACTGTATGAAGAGCATTTTATTTCAGAATCCGTTAATAATTCGAAGTTATATTTTAATGTTGTTAAAATTATAGCACGTTTCTGTTCAAATAATTTAAACATTGCATATGTCGAGTTCGTGTTTATACTTCCATTATGAATTGATAAATTAATAAGATTTTATGTCTCTTGTAGTTTATCGTGTGCATACGTTGCTATGTTCCTCCCGAAATTAATTTGAAAACAATTATTACAACCTATCACTTCCCCAAACATTCCCACGCACCAAGAAAAAGTACTTTAAAGCTGACGACAAAAAATTAATTGCATGTATATAGCATATATATGGCAAAAACTTTGCTGTTAATGAAGTAAGTTCATGAATTTTTGAAACAAAAACAGATATTGCATAATCTGTATCCGAATAACCTATCTCAGAAGGGCCAGAGTTACAAAAGAGCCCTTTTGTCACAGAAGAGTCTGGTCTTTGCCACAGAAGAACATTGTACTACAGAAAGGTTTAGCCCACAGAAGAGCTCTGTATCATAAAAAGACCTAATCTACAGAAAAGTCCTATATTATAAACGTAGTGATTTGCGAACGCTTGTGCGCGCGTGAACGATAATTATTCATTAGATTCCGAAAATGATAATGAAGATTCTTAAAATCGTATGATTTCTTTACCGCGTAAACATACACAATCCTAACATACACGCGCGATAAATAAAATCATTCACAGAAGAGCTCTGACCTGTAGAAGGGTCCTGTATCACGGAAGGACCTAGCCTACACGCCTACCTATATCACAAAAGGGCTTGATTTACAGAAAGGATCTGTCCCACAGAAGAACTTGGCCCACGGAAAAGTTTTTTACCGCAGAAATTTTCGCGTCTTCCACTCGTACTGCAGCTGTTCCGGCGTGGAGGGACAGAAAATCCATGATAAAAAATTATCGTGCCGAGACAAACGCCTAGTGAGACATAGTGAGACTTAGTGAAATACTTGTAATGAAATGTAATATTGTTTAAAATGTGTTTATCATGAGATTTTTCAAGTTTTATATTTTCTATGCAGTTGTATCAATATTTCTATATCAAGCAGATGGCATATACAATATTTTACATGATTCTACTTGGAATCTAATTTTAATATATTGATTTTGTTTAGAATTACGAATTTCTTGTAATTTACACAGTTTAACAAAGAACTCCTGTTTTAAAAGCCATATTCAATCTTATAATGGAATGTATTCTATGCGATTTAATGTGGTTTTCCAGAAAACTACGAATTTTTCATAAATGCTTTAAGATAATTCCTATGCGGTTTTACGAGCATTTTCATATCAAGGTTGCTAATGCGTTTCTACTCGCAGTTCCAATCAATCAATCGTTTATTGGATTCCATTTGGAATTGCAATGTTATACATGCGCATATGTATGTGTGCGCGTGTGTGTTCAATATGTTAGGTTAGGTTAGGGTTAGATTGGGATACACGCCATTTGATGTTTCAGGTGTGTATTATAACTTATAATAAAGTCGATTTTTAACATATGTTTTCTATTCTTCCATTCTTGGTCTCCTTATTCTTCATATTCATATATGTAAAAACAAGTATTCTATGTTGCAAAGAAGTTTATGTATTTCTTCAAATTAAAAAATTTTATCGAAGAAATGACCTTTTATAATAAATCGAATATGTTTTACTTTAATAATCTTGATTCAAGTACAAAACTACCCTACTAGGAACTGTCCCTACTAGGAACATATATATACTCAGAACATATTTTAAATAAATTAAATAAAACATTTCGAGCCATTGAGCATCATAGTACCCTATAGAGTTCTCAACAATTAAATTAAATTCAATATAATTTAATTTAATTAATCGAAACCATCTCTTAATGTCAAATAATTCTACACGGTTCAGCTGTAATGTAATATTAAGAATTATATTATTTAAATTTAATTACAATCGGTATATTATATATCTCAATCATTTATCCCTTTTTTACAATTTCTATAACTGATTCTTATGTCTCATCTATTATTTTTATTGAAGAAATTTGATACTTGTGACAAACTTACAATCAGAACCGTTCTTTTCAAGTATATACAAGATATAAGATATCGAAAAATGTCAGTCTATGAGAATTTTTTAGGATACCTGTATTATGATATTCGAAGTTTCGAGATTTTTATTCTATCAGTCAGACCTTACTTTTAGTTTAAGGTCTGACTGATGATCTCTCAAAAGAGGAATTTTCTTGGCTTCCTTCCGCCCTTCTTTCATTTCTTTCTTTGCTCTCTTCTTTTCTTCTTTTCTTTCGCTAGCTTCTTTGCTGTGTTTTATCGAGTACTTTTCATCTTCTTTCTCTTTTCGTCACCTTTTCTCGCTTCTTCTCTCTACTTTTCTTTCTTCGACTTCTGTATCTCTTAAACTACTGTCATCTTCAGTACTGTCGCTTAGAAACAGCGCGATTGCATGACATTGTCGATGATGCCGATGTAACAGCAAATATGCTTCTTGAGCTTGGTGGCATATCCTGCATTACTTGTGAATACATCTGCAAACGCGTCAATTGCGTCATGAATTTGTCCTTTGGCGAATCTCTCAACCGATAGCAGAAATTGCAAGGGTATCTAATTCTAGTGAAGGCTTTATTAGCAGGACAATTCCTTTGGAACTCTCTGATTGGTGGCAATCAGCGTTCCCGATTCTTCCGCAAGTTCTCCTTCTCTTCGGAGATTTGTTGAATAGGATCTTGATACGACTGCAAATTTTCATAAATTGTTTATTCCGTCGATTTATATACA